TAGGAACCGGAGAACTTCATAGAGCGAAGTTAATTAGTGGTGAATGGTGCTACAAATAAGTAGAGAATCCCTTAATTGGTGGTACTAGCAGCAGAATTTTCTTGGAATGTGTTTCGTTCTCGAGATAATAAAATTCGAATTATTTAAATTTGATCCATATATAAATTCAGACCATTGCGATATCTTTCGCAGAATAGTCAGGTATTCGATCAGCTCAACTACGGTGATTCTTGTTAATATTTGAATTTATACAAGTATAGTAATTATTATGTTAATATTTATTTACGATGCACAAAGTCGAAACAAGATAAATTATGGGGAAGTAAAAATAAATGAACAGTTTTCATTGTGGCTGCAGAGTGAACGGAGCGGAATCGCATTGCGATTTTCTTTTCTTCGATTTCGTTACGGCTGCCAAGCCTCCCGGAAGTTACGTCCGTGGCGCGTTCGAACGGCTCTCAATATGGTCGAACGTAAAATATAAAGCGTAAAAAAAAAATATATAAAACGTAGAGCAGAAAAACGTAAAATTTAGCGAGAAAGAATTGGAAAATGGTAAAGGTATCTAAACGATTTATACAAGTACCAAAGTTTATCGGATAGTTTTTCGTTGACAGGATTGTTAAATCCAATTTACGCTAATGACACGTAATTTTTCCAGCACGTTCGTATTACACCGGCATGTCTTTAATGTTAGGAGTTTATGGTTCAGGATAAAACACAAAAGGAATTCTTTATGACAAACGCAGCGCTTAGGAATGCAAAGGAAAATCTCGGTTTGCATCAGAATACGATTCTTCGATTCTTGCTGGACTGTTAATTAGTACTTACGTAATCACAGGAGCCATTTTATTCTATGGATTGAAGATTTTTTTAAAGTTACGCATCTCAGACAGTATGAATTAAATTACAAACCTGTTTTACGAACTATAATAGTCCTTTTATTATATTGAGCAATATTATTTTTTAGAAAGAAACATTTCGGAATAAGAACTGTACAACTTGGTTGTCAAAATTTATGAATTCTAGTCGAACATGTTTTATTTGCTTTCAGTTTGATAACATCTTATAAAAATTTGTAGATATTTTTTAATGTGGGTATTGATGAATATTGATTATAATAACGTGCAGAAACCGGTTAAATCCATTTTGCCGGAAACCATTGAGAAAATACACTGTTTTAAAATAGAAAGTGACATCAAATCTTTAAGAATTATCCATCTGCAAGGCCATGTAACTTTGAAGACCACACATATACTCATAGGTCACATATTCCTTAAGTCTTATTTTATTTTTTCGTCAGAAATAATGACGTAGTCTGTTTTTTTTATGTAATTTATTTTGCCATTCTTTCATAATCATAGATTTTAATATATAATAGTAACTACTAAATAAATAATAATGTAAAAACGGCAAAGTATAGAATATTAGTAATAAAAAATAAATTTATTTTTTTTTATTTAATATTATATAATTATATAGTCTGTATAATGCAGGGCCGACTGTATTATTACGATAGAGATCATCGTAATCAGAGGCAGTTTAAATTCAAGTCGCTATGCGCCAAGGCTTCGTTTTCGTTCGTTTATGCATTCAGCTACCGGTCGTTTTCCGCACCCTACCAGATAGTTGCATTAAGTTGCAACGAGTACGCTGTCGAAAAATGGCTTTTGCGTCCATCCAAGATGTTTTCGAAGGTCTCTTGAAATTCAGCCGTAACTCAAAACCCAATGGAATCAAGCATACGAAAGCAGGTGCGTGAACGATTCGTTAAGCGGCGAGCAGCTTTAATTTCGACGCAGCTGTTGTTCGAGTTGTTGCAACAGTGGACTCGGGAACTAAATGGGAATTGAGATTTCGACCATTCGTATTAGGTTGTTGCATAATAAATGTTGTTTTTCGCACTGCAAATTGTCAGTGATCGTAATTCTTTTTAATCGAGGTACAGTTTATTTAGAATCGATATTTTTGTAAATAAGGAGATTTCTAATCGCTGTGTTTAAATACTTCTAGTCGCCGTATCAGGTACTGCGCTCTTATAACGTTAGATAAATGATTAGTTAGATAGTGATTTAGGGCCTTCTCCTGGTTGATCTGGGTCAGTGGCTATCGCCGTTGCTCTTGCTGCCTATAAGTCAAGCGTTTATGGTTCGTGAACTCTCCTGCTCGATTTAAACTCGATTTTGGTAGAGAACAAATTGTGTAATTTACGTCGAAACCTCTCCAGTTACATCCCAAAGAAATTATACAGGATATTAAATAAACTTCGATAGTCTTATAATATCCAAACAATTCTACAATCAGATACTTCAAATCATTCAAATATTTTCCACTTTCTACGATGAAGAATAAATAATATAGCAAGTTCACAGTATTAAACAACTAATTTTCTTGTTTTCGTGTTCACCGAAAACACTGGTGAAGATTGCTCGTGCGATTCTAAAACGCTCTATCTGTACGCTCACACGGTTCATAAAAAGGAATATTTCATTAATTAGCGTTGCCACGAGTTCTTCGAATTAAACTTTCCTTTCATCTTCGTTTATTCTTATTTACAGATTACAAAACCGTTTCTTGAGTATAGCGTATTAAAGACTACTTTTTCTGGTTACATCCACGCAAACACTCTTATCCTTTTCCGTGTTAAACAGAACGACAATAAAGAGATAAATCTGCCTTCTTGGGAGACACTTTAAGATAAGACAGTGGCTCTATTGCGTCCTCGTGTTTGTTTATTCAATTACCGTACGAAGATCGTGACGTTTAATCTTCCCTCCGTAATTTCTCTTAGCTTAATTAGTAAGTAGTCCACTATTTTTTTCTGAAATCTTTCATTCGTTCTAAACCGATTCAAAATTTGCTGTGTCATCTCAACAGTTAACGACCTAATAATATTATAATAAAAGTGCAGTTGTTGAAGTATTGTTCGAGTGTTTGCGATTTTATATCGTTCATTCACCTACAATTCCATCCACTCACCCCATAACAGTACACCTAATGGATCGTCCATTGGTCCCGTTGCAGATCGATCGAACGATTTCCGTGATCGTTTCTGCATAGTATATATATCAGCAACAAAACGAAACCGGAGGCTGTTAGACTTGCCTCGTTACGTCATCTCGCACGAGACCTAATTTCGTTATCAACGATACGGTTACAACAGCTGCTTCTAATCACGACCTGTTATTTGTAAGCTTCCTTAAACTATGCGTTTGTGAACATATATACAGGGTGTAACAAAAGTGTTGTAGATCCCTGAAATGGGTCACTCGTTATGTAATTTGGAACAAGTTTTTCGTTAACAAAAATGTTATCCGAGGCTTTATTAACAAGATATTAACGAAAAACCCCGACCAATCAGAGCGCGAGTCTGCCAGCCGAGCTCTGATATTGGTCGGGGTTTTTCTTTGACACTAGAAAAAAATGACGGATTACAGATTTATTATTTTACTATTACTGAAATTATAATGGCGTTTCCGACGGAATTTACGTAGTTTTTTCATTTGCTACAGATTTTATTTTATGGTATATTATGATAGATTGTCTTATATATTTTGTATAGTATGGTTTTATAGAATTTAATTCAGTATACATTGAATGCTGGTAGTTCTAGTGTTAATATTTCGTTAACAAAGCTTCGGATAATATTTTTGGTGAGAAAAAATTTGTTCCAAATTACCTAACAACACTTTTGTTACACCCTGTATACCGCGCATAACGCGTCTGATAATCGTCATGTTGCGACAATGCTCTGTCGCGTTACGATGTTTCGCAATGTGGTTCGTTCGTTACATAAAACGAGCAGTGCGACACATTTTCGTTTGTTCATTAAACGACGGATAAAGGTCTCGTGAGGCTGGTATTGTAGCTCCTATAACTGTCCATTCAATTCACGAGAGCTGATGAATGTATCGGTGAACTTAATGGGAAAGCCTTCGCGAAACTATAAATAGTGTTTCTTTTTCCAATTGTTTTGTTTTGTCGACAGGATTGAAATGATTGAAATCGTAATTGTGTGATGATTTAATATAAACATTTGTGTTGTTACTGTTTGAGAATAGAAAGCGTCTGTAAAACTAAAAAATAATACCATTTGTAATTTTTTTTTTTTTTTTCAACAAGATTGAAATTATTTAAATCGTAATTGTTTGTAACGTATTGTTACTGTTTCAGAATAGAAAGCCCTTTTCGAAACTATAAATAATACTTTTTCTAATTGTTCGTTTTGTCGATAGGATTGAAACGATTCAAATCGTAATTGAGTCATAATTTAATAGAAAATTTTGTGTTATTATTTGAGAATAAAAAGCTTAATCACCTCCTCATTAAATATACAACGGTCTTAAAACTATTGTAGTTTGATGAAACAATAACATTATTATAAATTAATTTCAACATACATTGCAACTGCAATAGAAAGAAACAAAATCTATTTTTATAATGTTTTATTCCCTACCGTACAAGTTATTTATGCCTATACTGCGGATCTTATGCATTTATAGAATACCCCATGATCTAAAATTCTTCTTTTACTTCGACCCTCCAACACAGAACCCTCAACAGGGTAAACAAATTTTTCATTGCACCGCGTATAAATATACAAAAACTAAAATTCTCTATTTGCATAAACGTCCACAGCCCATTTTACAATTCTTATCCCCAAAATAATAACAACAGTCTCCACCTCAAAGTATCACGAGAGTAACGCCAAAAAGCAACCACCAAAATCTCGGTTCCCCTGACAGTAAAAAAAAAAAAAAAAAAAAAAAAAAAAAAAAAAAAAAAAAAAAGCCCAGACGATCGTCTCCAAATAACAAACGGTGAATTATTTCCACAGAGTTATCCGCCAGCAGCCAGTGATCGAAAACAAAAAGAACAATTTAACATAGACATGTATCCTAGACCTTATAGAACGCTCGTGAAAGTTACGCGGTGAACGACAACCGGCCGAGAATGCTAGGTATTCCGTGTAACGCATTCTGAGCCACCGTGTGTCGACGATGGATCTGAACGTGTGTTCGCGTCGAGTCCACGACGGGTACGCGACCATCAGGTCGAGAGGTCGTAACCGGCCTCGGGCGGTCTACAGATCGGACTCGGAGGAGCTGCTCAAGGAATCAGGCGGTCCGTACGCGCTTCCACGGCTCTCGAACTTCCCGATCGCCTCGGGCGATTTGCATCAGGTTGCCAGATGGTCGGACTTCACGAAAGACTGCCTGTTGATCGAGAACTACGGTACCCTACGGGGCACGAAGAAAACGAATCCGTTGGACGAACGTAAAACGGTGACGTTGAACACGTTCAGCAAGGTCGAGCAAGGTCCGAGGCACGGGTGCGTCCAGGTGAACGGTCAAGGACAGGTGAACGCGTTATACGTTGGCAGAGAGACCGAGAGAGGACACGAGTTTTCCTCGCAGAATGGCGCCGTTGAGGACTGCCTCTACGACACTGTGCCTCTGGACGATTGCCAGAAGGCTGACTTGCGTTCTTTCAGATCGCAAAACATTGTCCTGGATGGGAAGGATCGAATGAATGGGTCAGCTCAGGTGGCTGATCCCTTTGGGGCAGTTGGAGTAATCGATCCCAGTTCGAGGAAATCGAAGGATATCGAAGAGTTTCTGAATGATTCGGATCAGAAGATGAACAGTGATGCTAGATGCCTTGTTGTTGATAGAAGGATCGGTGGAATGAAAGACAGACAACCGATCTATGCTGTTCCGAGTAGCTTGTCGAAGTCCAGGCGAGATCGTCGAATCGTGATCGTTGATGGTAATTATGTACCAAGCGGTGATTTGTACCGTACCACGGCTAAGTATATAGAGGATATCAATAAAAACATCGCGGAGATCGACAAGAGTTACGAGGAGCTGAAGTCCTCGAATTCGAAGAACTCCGCCTATGGAGTGATCAATAAGATCGCTAAAGGCGAGCTGCTCGATCGATCCTGCAATCTCTACGGCTACGCGAGGAAAAGGGACATGGCGCCGATGCCGCCTATATCCTCCGATTTCTGCGAAAACCTCGTCGAGAAAACGGAGAAACAGTTGGACGTCGACGAGAAAATGGAAATTGCGAGAAATTTCACGATCCCGAGGAACAGGCTCGGAAAGATTCCACCGAAGTTGCTCCCTAGATCGTCCTCGATCGACAGCACTTCTAGACACTCGACAGGCTCCACGACAACGTCATCGACGAAGTCCACAGAGTCCCTATACGCGATCAGCGAATCATTAGCTAGCGAAATCCAGCGAACAGACGATTCGAAAGTGGGTAGCCTGTTGAGTAACATTTCCAAAAACTGCCTGAATCTGGTCAGCACAGAGGGGTCCGACGAGCTAGAGTCGAAAGACGACATGTCCTCCACGGATGACGACAGACCAACCCCGATTCGATCTGTGGATCGATTGCCTGTCACCGGTTCGATTCGCAAGAATCGTTCCAGAGTAGACACCATAGAAAGATCGTACCCGAAAAAGAGCCAGCTTTCACCTAGTCCTAACTATGACGGTCTCCATCATCAGAACGGTCAGCTCGACCGAAGGATATTGGGTAACTTGCATCTAGAAGCAAGGGAACCTAGTGATTACCCAAAGAGAAGGTACGATACACTACCTTCGAGAAGATCGAGGGTAGTATCCTCGAGGCCTCTTCACAAGTCCAGCGAAGACGTGCTCGACGGTGAACGACCTGTTCGATCCTCATCTCTGAACCGATCCTGCGCCAGCGATCTGGACATCAGCGCTGGAAATGACGAACCGTCCAGCTCGAACGTCCTCTTCGCTAAGCCACTCTATCTAATGGACGCCACGGATATTATTCTGCATGGACGGTTTGACAGAACAACTGGTCGTGGTTTCCAACGGCAAGAACATTTCCCAAGGTCCAATCGGACCAGACACGATTCCCTGGAGTCGGAACCAGAGGACAAAGGCGGTGGCGACGATTACTGTCGGCCGAACGGCTTCGCCACTTTGCCCAGACGGGGAAATCTCGCGAAGGATCAGGCTAATGATCCGCTCAGACGGCTGTCCGGCAACGTACCGATCTTAGAGCCCCTCTACGAGCATGCGGTCAGCGATCCAGTTAAACCGAGGAGCGCCGCGAACGTCATTCCCTGGTGGGAACTCGCGACTAGGAAGTACAGGCACCGTAGTTGCCCGTCGTTGCAGGTAACACGGAGGATTTTATATTTTTTTAACCGACTTCGAAAAAGAGGAGGTTATATAATTCGATGAGTATGTTTTTTTTTTTTTTTTTTTTTT